TTAGATATCAGTGGAACAATCATGGACAGCTAAAAATCAGCTAATTAACATGCAAATTAGATAATTAATATGCACGGATTTTTACCAAAAATTAATCAAATCTGCGCATATGTTCAGAGCATCTATGTACCAAGTTTCATCAAAATCCAATGAGTGGTTCTTTAGATATCAGTGGAACAGTCATAGAACAGCTAAAAATTAGCTAATTATCATGCAAATTAGGTAATTAATGAGCATAGATTTTTACCAAAACCTAATCAAATCTGCGCATTGGCCCAGAGCATCTATGCACCAAGTTTCATCAAAAACCGATGTATGGTTCTTGAGATAGCAGTGGAACAGTCGGACACACATACACACACACACACACACAGACACACTAACTGCAAAGACTCCCATTTTGTGCTTCGCACATGGGAGTCAATTATAGCTTCCGGAGAGCTTGGATTATACAGAGGAAATTATGATATAAAGTCAAGCAGTTTTATCCAATCAAAGATATGAATTCAAGGATCAGGTCATTCATGGTATCCATATACAATGCCAATAAATTCAGGATTTATTTTGGCACTTCAAGTCATTTCTGGTATCATTTGTGTGTGTGGAACACAGGCAGGAGTTTGAATAGAGAGTCTTGCTGTACATTTTCCAGAAGAAGATGTGTTTACTTACTAAGAAAATATTACTACCTATATGCACTATTAAAGCATTATTATTCTTTCCAAATGAATGTTTACAGTAGTTATGTTTATTGTTGCGAGTAAAAGATTCAAGGATTGATTGATTGTTTGATTGGGCTGGGATCACTGGTGAAGTACAATACAATTGACACAAATGTAAAATTTGCAACATACATTATATTTTTTCAACCTCATGAGTTTACCTTTAGATGTAATAAATGTTGTCATGCAGTATTGTAGGTCTTAAAAGCAACACTTACTTCTGGAAAAAGAAGACAGATTTCTTTAATTTGTTTCAATGCTGGTATCACCCACTTATCATTTCTCAATTCTTCCACAAAACGGTCAATCCAATGCGTCTTCTGTGCATCTCGATCCTAACCAAAAAAAAAAGAGTACAATTCAATGGGTATGAATAATTCACAAAGATACTGAAGGCGATGAAAATGCACACTTTAAATTATTCCATAGTATGTTAACTACCGTAATACAAATTTAAAAATAAAAGTATTCAAAACTGTACTCACACTCACCTGCGAACAGCTATAGTCTAAAATTTTAATATGAGCATTCAAGGCTTGATCCATGATATCTGTAGGTACATCATCACTATGAGCTAAATTCCATAATAATCCTAAAACTTTATGTGCCATCACACCATCTTTATCATCTTCAGCTAATCTTCTTATCAGTTCTAATAACTTCTCTCTTTGTTTTTTACTTGCATGTTGCCAACTATCCTATTAATAAGATGGTATTACCACAATTAACACATGCACAAACCAGGTTGATAGAAAATACTACTTCTATATTCCTCAGCATTTGATGCCATTGAAACCTGTGTCCTCAGTTCTGCAGAGACAGAATGATTTTTTACAGAGTTGCAGTTTTTAAAACACTTAAAATGGTCAATTTTTATCTTTAGATGTTGCGACAACAAATTATAATAAGAAAAAATTCAGCTACAAAATACTTTATATGTATATGCTGTAATGAAACACAGTGACACATCTCTGGGAATGCATTGAATGTCAACATGAGCTGAGAGAAGTCATTGGCAATTTCAGTTCTTCCTCAGTCAGAGGATATCACTATTACACTCAAACTCAATTACTCAAGTGTTTGCTGATTATTAAAATTAATAATGAAAATGGCCATAATTGGGACTCACCTGGAAACATTCAAAAAGATGATCCAACTGTTCTGGTGAAAAATCCCAGGCCAATTTAGCCAATAGATCATGAACATTTTTCACTATTGCTTCATGTTTACCAGCCTAATAGAAGAACAGAATATTGAAGTAATATAGTAAAATATAAATATATACAATAGTAAAAGAAAACATGCAAACCATCGTGTCTTGTCTTTGTAACAATTTGAACAAAATCGGTCTAGGCATGTCTGAGAAATGTCAGACAGATGTCTGGAACTCAAAACACAAGTCCTTGTTCCAGATGGGAACTATAAACTGCATTGTACATAATATAACATAATGAATTCAGGAAAAGAATTTTTCTCAAATTATATTCTCAAAATCCACATTCAAAAAGCTCAATCTGAGTTCAGTAGCAATCAATATATATATAACACACACATAGCAATACTGTATTTGCTCTATAGAAAACCATCTCCAATAGAAGTGCCTATGAACCAAAAATTGCACAATATGACTTATTTTGACCATAGAAACAGCTAGAAATTTGCTAGTGCATATACAAATAATAAAGCATATATGGTGGTTACAAAATCTCAATATGTGTCAGGGCTCAATTTTGAATATTTGATGAGTGATGGCTTATAATGGCAAAAATCATATTGAGCACATTACATTTCGGCTTAAAATTATATAAAGGACTATACCTGTGCAGCCCAAATGTTATCTAAATCTTCCATTGTCAGTGCCTTTTCTTTAATAACAAACCTAAGAATCTTCTCAAGTTTTTCTACATACTGCAAGTAATAGATACACACATTTGATGTATATTTTACCAGTAGTAAAATGGACCATGTAAAAGACTGGTGTGTTTAAAATGACAACATTAATGGTAGTAAATATCCAATATTTATATAGAACAGAATGTAACACACCTGAGGTTGATGAAGACTATCTCTAAGAACTATTGATAACACACTATTTTTTTGAATCCATCCCTGTTGAACAAAAAGACTTATCACGTGAAACTTCACACTATCAATTTCTATTTAATATATGTAATTACTTTTATTACAATACAGCAGAGCTTTTATTAATTTTCCCACTTACAGCCATTCGTTCCGCTGTTAACCACTCTTCTTCTTCAATTCCACTATGTCTATGTGTATAGTAGGAGACACTTGCAATAACTTTATTCACTTCATTTAAAGCGTTCATTTTACCATTGAATGATGATATCTGAAGCAACCTGCAAGAATATGACTTGGCATTACTTATGATTTTATTAGAACAAGACAAGAATGTCATAATTCCTGCAATTGACAGAGTGCTTAACAAATAAAATAGTTTATATTAAGCAATGAATTACATATGTAGTCAGCATTGTTGATACAGCTGAAGGGAGGTAGCAAGACATGTAATTAGAAACCAGATTGGGAAGGCAAGGACAGCAGTCAATTTGCTTGAGAGTTTTGAGATTAAGAGTAATAGGCCCAAAGATTAATTAAGATTTTCAATACAAATGTGAAATCAGTTTTGTTATATAGAAGACAACCTCAGAATGCAACAGGAAAATTCAAGCCGTTCCAAACTCTTGCTTAAGAAAAATACTGGAATATGCTGGCCGAACTGAATTTTTTTGTAACCAAGAAGCTCTGGGAAAACACAAACCATATACCAACAAATCAGGTGAAAAAAAGAAAATTAAGGAAAGAGCCAGAAACCATCACGAAAAAGGCATTGCAATGAAATCCACAGGAAAAGAGAAAAAGAGGAAGGCCAAGAACATGGGAAAAGAAAATGAAGAAGATTGGGGACAACTGGCACACAATCACCAGACGAGCCTAATCTTTGGCCTAATCCCCAAATTATCTCTCATGCATATGTACCAGACAATGTATATGTAAGGTTTGTAGAGAATTGGTCAAGGTATGTTAGAGATGCAGCTCCAAACACATACATACACGAGTCTGGAATACAATTTATGAAAACCTAAACAAAGCCTAATACCGTAAAAACTCAATCAATTCGGCCATGTGAAAATAAATATTTTTGGGGGTGGCCGAATTGATTGAATAAATATAGAAAATATGTTTCCAAAGTTGTTGATTTTTTTGAATATTTGTTCATTGTTTTTTAAATGTGTGTATTACCGTAAAATTCTTTGGATTGCTATGAAATGCAAGTAAAATTCAGCTTAGTTTCATCGTAAGCAAATGTTTTAGGTCGTATGCAAACGTTTGATGCAATACAATAGCCGTCAGGTTTTCCCAAGAGTTGACCTGAACTGCGTTCTTTGACCCAAGTCTCTAATTAACCAATCAGAATGTGTGATAGTGCTCATTTGAATATGTGATCGGTGACCTTGTGGCGAACGCAACACTAAAAGCATTTACCGATGTTGATTTACCTTTTGGCATCAATTTGGGGGGGGGGGAAACGGCATGATATTTTTTAAAATCAAAAAATTATACATTTTCGAACGATAAACTGAGCAGTGAAGAAGGTTTTAACAGCTAAAGTATAGCGTTTTTCCCAAAGATTACATCAGACAGAACTCAGTCTGATGTAGTCTGATGTACGATATTGAAATGATTGGGCCTGGGATTCACACCTCTCATCGTCTCATCTGACGCTTTGCTGGTACCATGTGCCGCTACTGAAACAACTTCTATATGTGAGCGCAGTCTTCAAGGTCACAATTTTTTTACCCAGTTTAAATTAAAAATCCACTTTTTAAAAAACAACGTTGCAAGACAATGTTTCGAACATCACTGGAATGACTGCTGAAAAATCCAGCAATAATTTTATTTGGGTCACCCCCCCCAAAAAAAGACATTTTGGCGTACTGCGCGACAGTGTAAACATCACTGTCCAATATAAATATCGCTTCCACGCTACGAATTGTCGACTTTGTATCGGCTTGTAGGAAATTAGCGATGACTTAAAGTATTTTGTGCATCGTGATGATTTTTTTGGCGATTATTTGCAACCGGTGTACCGACACGTCCACAGACTGTCATTTATATGTCCCTTGAACAGCCACGGTTGACACAAGTCTATGACTGCACATATAGTGGATACCATGTTTGCTTTATGTCGTATTTACGTGGATTTGTGAAACAATACCTTTGTTGAGAGTGACATAAAAATCGGGCAATGTCATCACTGGACGAACTAATTGGATACAAACAATAGACCGACTGGACAGACGGCTGAACTAAATGAACACATTTTAAAACTAACAATGACACACAAAATAGGTGGCCGAATTATTCGAGTGGCTGAATTAATTGAGTTTTTACGGTAATCTCTGTCAAAGGGAGACAAATAAATTACTATTCATTATATAATTTTGATAGACTACAATCCAAACTTCACAATGGATAAATACAGTAAACTACTCACCTCAAAATCATTTTTAATCTAAACATTTCTAGATTTTTCACTGTTTCTTCTTGGTTTGCTACTCTAGCTGCTAGAAATTTCAGTGACTGTAGAGTAAATAACAAGTCCGAATTGTTAAATATCATAATATAACTTGCGCTGCCATTACTGAAACACTGCATTCCAATGTGCAATGTTAGTAAACAAAACAGAAGTGAGATCCCCCTTTTTCAATGAGAACTTTATTGTTTTAAGCTTAAATATTCTTTAAACAATCAAGTTTATCATTCATTATTATCATATAGACTCCTTAAATTCCCCATAAATAATTGTATTCAGAAGAAACCTGTCAAACATTACTTGACCTTACAGGGATTGAAATAGAATTTGTTCCCTGCATGCACAGTGTGCATGTTAAATTTGAAATTTACCTGCACCAACGTGTTGTGAAATGCACCACTTTTAAAGTTTAAATAAAATTGACGGGTTCTCGATTGACGCGATCACGAAAGAATTTGCTATTTTTTAGTTGTCTTACAATGTTGGTTGAACTTAATTTAGGCTTAGTGAATATAATGAGAAATTGTTGTGTTAATTTCTACATGCACAGTGTGCACATTAAATTTTGAGTTTACTTGCACTAGCTAATAATCTATGTGCATAGTGCAGTGTGCACCAGAGTATTTCGATCCCTGCCTTACCTTGATAATAGATGATAAAGCATCATTTTTGGCTTCATTCTTGGCTTCTTTTTTCAACTCATCATCTGTCAAATTATCTAAGAATCCTGGTACTTTTTCCTATCAAAGAAACAGACACACAGACAGACAGACATATATATTCATGTTATTCAGGTATCTTAACATAAACTTATAAAAGCAAAGACATGAATAGCCTTCCAACAAGGTAACAACTAATTATGTTCATTTACGGGCAAGAAAGTTTCACAACATAACTAATCAACAATAAATATTTACTTACAATTATCGGCATAAAGTACTTTTGCACAGTATGTTGGGTAATCATTTCATAACACAGTCCCCAAGGCCTGACAAAGAGAATGTCAATAACATTTGATAAGAAATCATGATTCAAGTATGGAAGATCAATATTATTACTTTATTATTACAATGACAATCAAAGTTAAACCATGCAAAGTTCATCTGTGTGAATTCTATGATTTGAGAATGTAAATTCTTATTTTTAAACGAAAGACCACTAGTTGACCAATTCTTGAAATCGGGTCAGGACAGTATTACAGCAGTCAAATAATTAATTTGTTATCATTATTAATTTCTACAGACCGTGAGAATGCAGACTTTGTATGCTACAAAAATCAAACAATTAGATTTTTATCTTGTATAGCTTAATGTTGATCTTTGAGAAGAGAATGTGTTGTTGAGATACCCTTACTTAATCAAATTCATCATAAAATATGTATGACATATTATTAAGTGTGAAGATGCAACCAAAATACTTTCGCATTTGTCGAATCCCACAGGTGTTTTGACAGCATTACGATGCTAAGACATTTATCTGTCCTGATTTTACATTTGCCTTTTAGGCACAAGGTAGGATCTTGCAATGAGCAGAAAATGGTCTATGTGACATAACTGCTGTAGTATTAAGTCACACATATCGAATTTTAGACTCTGTTGTTACCCAAAAAGCTGACAAAAAAACGATGTGACCAGAACTATACGAGATATGAGAGCTGCTTGCAGTTAGATTGCAAATAATTTTGACAAGTCCAAATTAATAGGAGAATAAACCCAAAATACCTTCATACAAAAGTATTAACACCAATGCAGTGTTCTCCCCAGACTCCATGCCAAGCATAATTAATTTGCATAATAACACATCTAATTTGCATAATTTATTTGCATAATAATTAGTTTCTCCAACAAACATTGTGATACAGTAACTACAATAAAGAAGAGATATTTTTATACAGTTTTGTAGCTCATATATTTTATATCATTTTTATATCACTTCATTGTATTTTATGTTTGCATCAAGTCAAATCAAGTTTGAAATATGAATATATTGTTATCCATGGTAACTGGTTCATCATTATTTTGTGTACAACAAGTACAGTCAGTTTTAATGTCAGTGTCACTGTCAGATCATATGACGTGGGGAAAAACATTTTTTGGTTAAATTTGTAAAGTCTGCCAGATTACAAGTTATCAAAATATGAAATTAATAAATCAATAATAAAGTTTTTTTTTAAAACGGCATTTCAAAACTCATGCCAGCTATTTTTCATTGATCTATCTATACCTTATGCGTAACGCTACAATCACCACGGGTATTGTCAGCTGCTGTTGCGATCATCGGTCCCTGACTTTTTGGTTTAAAAATACACAAATTTAATTTTGTTAATTAAAACGATTCATTGGCGATTATCTTAGAAATTACATCAAAATCGCCAACGAGATGCACTTTGCGTCGCCATCTTTGTTACCTCGATCGGAATCCCCCTTGTAACCCAGAATGCACTGGTCGTGATGTCACACCATGCGTTACATTGCTTCAGTGGCGTTCCTCGGTAATGAGGCACTCTATGAATAAGGTATTTCTAGAGGTCAGGGTTTGTTTTTTCTACGGCATTCTCGTCTGCAGTTGAATAATTTTTGCTTCGATTTATTTATGTTTTTTTTTCCCAATGCGACTTAATTTCACTTTTGTTTTTTAATTCTTGGTAATTAGTGTCAGCGGCTATGGAGTAGTAAAAATCACAATTAACCGCAGTGCAGCAAAACGGGATAGATCTTCCCGATGCAATGGGTTAATTATTACTTTGCAGGCCCTGATCCCCTTGAAAGACTTCTTGTAGACTTCCGTTTTATCAGTGTTTTTGTAAGGCTAACAAAGGCAGGATTACCTTTCGATCAATACATGTTATTGTTTTAAAGATGTGCAAGATGAGGTTGACACTTGTAAACAATACAACAACCTCAAGCATCGCGGACAGGATTTCAAGAATCGCTGGCGAAACGAAAGCGACGCGGCTACTTGTCTAAGCGACGCAGGCACGCGGTGCCTGAAAGGCCTGAGGAGAACACTGCCAATGGATAAGGGATGACAGACTATGTTGACATTTAAGCAGGGTTCTCCCCAGGGCTTTTTAGCGCCGAGGTCCGCGGCGCTATACCTGTGAATCTCGGCGCTTCACTTGGGACCTCGGCGCTATGTGTTCCCACCTCGGCGCTTGATTTCATATTTGACATGCCAATATCAGATGTGAAAAAGCTTTGTTCGCCACGCCGGTCGGCCCCGACCGTCACTCAAAATTAGTGACCACCACGGAAATGCTTCCGACGAGGACTATTGTCTGATTGTTGGTATAATTAAGTACCGACCGACACGCATCCTGCCAGTCGTGGATTATAATTTATAAACAATAGACCTAGTCGCACGATACGTAGCGGCTAGTCAAATTTGTGGAATTAGCACCTCTTTGTTTGTAAGTAAATACTTTCTGCGATAGACACAGTCTTTAGATTTAAAGCTAAACTTATTTCAAAATCAATCCACCTCGA